TCACTCGTGCTCTCTCTTTCTAAAATGAATAAATAAATCTTAAAAAGAAAGAATGATCTAAATTCCTCAAAAACAGTCATTTGTAACAAAAGAACATCATGCTATAAAATGATTAATCTTTAGCTCTCTGATGTAGAATTTTTTTATCAGATAAATAATGGATGGCTTCCATAAACTCAGTGCATGTTGGCAAAAGGTCTAAAAAAGAAGGGATTGATTGAAATCAAAACTGGTCACACTTTCTGGCTTATGCTCTCACAGCAAACAACAGTCTCTTAGTTCAAATAGGGGAAATGGGGTCACAGTGAATTTCAAAATACAGAATATGGTGTATGTTCAAGGTTTCCCCTCTGAGCACCAGTCATAGACCTCTTTGCAACTCTGCTCTCCCACTGGAGGAAGAGAACGAGACGATGACACCTAGCACTCAAGAGAATACAGACTAGTGCTTGGGGATTCCCGCATCCCAGTTGCCAAGTACATAATATGGCATCCGTCACCAAGGTGACCATATCAACCTCAGTCACATGTCAGCCTCCACAGGAAGGCACCCCTGTGTGTGTTTGTCGATGTGTTGGAAATCCTTCTCCTTTACCACTCCAAAGCACTGCAGAGCTGCTGGTCTGGTGAAGCAGACTCTGAAAAATTAATATGTCCTTGATCTAGGACATGCTGTATGTGGTTGTAGCCTTTCAAAACATAGCATTTTCTGACTGAGAGATAACTTTTATCTAATCCTAACCATTGAGAGATGAGGAAAATGTGGCAACCCGCTCTTTAATAGAAGGTTAAACCAACATTTAGATCCACTTGGATGTTTTACTCCAGGATCTTCACTTTTAACTTTCTGGTTGTTAAGCTTCAGTTATAATGTATATGCATGTGAAGGGATTCCTGGACACATATCACTTATTTGAGATTCAAGTAAGATGCCAAAATGAGACATCCTCGGAAGTTTTGAGGTATAAGGTGTAGGGTGGAATGCATTATTTCTGAATGTATCATTGCTATGTTGACGCAGCAGGACTCACGGTATAGTCAGAAAACAAAACAAAAACAAAACCACAAACAAACAAAACAGCCTTATTCTCCTCCATCGTGCCTGTGTGAACCTGCTCTGTGGGGCTACTTTGTTTCCTGCCCCTCAGAGGAATTAATGTGTGGGCCTTATGACTCTTGGGGTCACTCTCAAATAACCAAAAGGGTCTCTGGTTACTTTTAGTCAAAAATACAGTCTTAGATCAGTAATGAATGTGTCATTATAAAAAAACTCCATACTTCCGTGGCAAAGGGGAGTAGTAGTTGGCTTCTTCTGTGTTTCTCCCAGCCTGCAGCTTCTCCCCTCCTTCTCACTCATGAGGCTGCCCAAACTTCTAGGGTTGACGTGGGGAAGAGAGAGAGCCAAGGAGGCAGAAAGGCTTTGGGGGGCTCTAGCAGCCACAGCTTCTCTGGCCCTAGCAGATGTTTCCAACTGACACTTTCTCTCATGGGCAGTTTTATAGGTTTGCCAAAGCCGCCCCTCACCCCTACCACCCTGCTGAGGAATCTCTCGCCACGCATTTCCCCGGCACGAGCAAGGTCATTTTGCCTCTGACTGGTTGCCTCAGAGGTTTCCTCTGGGCCCTGAGCCATCTGGAGGCAAACCTCTGGCTTCTTTCTGCCAAGGTATCTGCCTTTCCAGGCAAGCCTCTTGGGTAGGATCAAAGTCAAGCCCACACTGTCTGTCTCACTCTCTTTAGACTTGTCTTCCGTGGGAGTAAATTACTTCCCCTACCGTGGTCTCTACCCCATGTTCAGGCCACTTTTGCCAACTCTGGCCCTTTAGATTTCTCAAATATGAGGCAGACACCAGCCCATGGCATTCCCCAAACGGCAGGGGACGCATCCCAAGCCTTCGACTGGACCTAAGGTGAGAGAAAATCCCCCTCTGACCTGCCCCTGGGGGTGCATAGGAGGGACCTCTTAGAACACCTTCAGTTCCTCTACAGAAACCCTTCTCTGATCCAAGCGGCCTCACCAGCCTCCACCTCCACCTTTGCACATCTTCCAGGTAAGTGAGACGTTAAGGGGACACCTCTGTGCAAGTCCTACATCACGGTCCTGTGTCTTGCTTGGAAGGTGAGAAGGGCTGATGACTAGTATCTGGGTCCTCTGTCAAAATGGAAATAAAATAATAGCTCCCATTTTAACAACCTGTTACCAAATATATTCTCTTTCTCTTTCCAATTGCCCCTATAAATGTTCCTAAATAGGTAGATGTTGGAAAAGATCAAATGCCGTTTCAACAAACTTTGCATAGTTGTGCTGTTTATCAGAGATTACTTGAATTATCGGTGGTTGGAGAAGGGTTGGCAATAACTTTGTGATACAGAGATTTTTATTACAAGATATACTGCAACTCAACCCGCAGCAAGGATCCCAGAATCCTGGGAGTGTTATTTATAAGTTGTGCTTCCCAACTATTTTTCCAGCCGAACAAGGGAAGTGATCTGAATCATAAACAACAACAAATTGGCTGCCTAAGAGAGAGGAAACGAGCAAAATATAGACTTTCTTTATAATCGTATATGTTTTGTTGTGGTTTCCATTAGATAACAAGGTCTCATCAGAAGAACCATGGCCCCTACTCATAGATGGACACCTGTGCTCTTCACTGGACACTGGTCAGCAGATTTGGTAGAGCAACACGGTGTCCAAATCATGGTGCCTCATCGTGGTCCTGGGGAGTGATTATGTCTCTGAGTATTGATCTCCATCCTGCCCCATGACATCTGTGGTTGGCATCTATTGCCAGGCCTTAAACCCTGTTCTTTCTGTACTTAGCCTTTTCCTCAAAGCCTGAAGCGTTTTTGGAACACTGTCAACAAATCATTTAAGACTACAGGATGACTCTTTATGTACATTTTTTAAAAAGACAACCAGTTCTAGGAAAGTATTTCGATCTTACACCCATACATGATTTAAAACATCCAAGACCGTGTTGGGTACACAGTGAACACATTTTAATGGGTGTGATTCCAAGAGCAATAAAAGAAAGATAAAAGCATAGATAAACTTATGTGTGTTTTTTTTTGTTTGTTTGTTTTTTTAAGATTTTATTTATTTATTTGACAGAGAGAGAGAGCACAAGTAGGCAGAGCGGCAGGCAGAGGGAGAGGGAGAAGCAGGCTCTCCACCGAGCAGGGAGCCTCACGTGGGGCTCGATCCCAGGACCCTGGGATCATGACCTAAGCCGAAGGCAGATGCTCAACCGACTGAGCCACCCGGGCGCCCCGATAAACTTGTTTTGTTTGTCATCAGTTCTCTTGAAGCTTCACTAGAACTCTCATGACATTAACAGATCTAATGGATCTGCTTACAGCAACCAGCTCTCCTTCATGGCCCTATTTTAACATAATATTTTAGCTGTCAATATCACTGTCAGGAATACAATTTATTTCACACTTTGGGTTTCTTTGGATGGACATTTTGGAGATGAAGTGGCAGTGATTTAATGCTGCTGATAAATGGTGCTGAGCCTGCTAATCCTTACAAATTCAAGTTGGTTTCTTAAGCAAAAGTGGGCCTGGCTCTAAGTGAAAATGAAAATGTTCACATAAATTAAACATAGTACAGGGGTTCTCAATCTTTCCATGGAGAAAAGGACAAGTAAGGACATTCTATAAATTGGGGACCCTTTTTCCAAGAAGGGCAGTAACTTAGTCATGGGCAGGTCAGAATCCCACCTCTCCTCTTCCAGCGCCCCCCCCCAGGATTCTGACTCAGGGATCTGAGGGGGAACCAGGCATTTATCTTTTTCTTAAAGCCTTCACTGGTGATTCTTTTTTTTTTTTTTTTAAAGATTTTTTTAATTTATTTATTAGAGAGAGAATGAGAGATAGAGAGCATGAGAGGGAAGAGGGTCAGAGGGAGAAGCAGACTCCCTGCTGAGCAGGGAGCCCGATGTGGGACTCGATCCCGGGACTCCAGGACCATGACCTGAGCCGAAGGCAGTCGCTTAACCAACTGAGCCACCCAGGCGCCCTTCACTGGTGATTCTGGTGTGCAGACAGTGTCCAGAGGGATCACAAACTGTTTGGATGGATCCAGAACTTTTCAAAGAATGGACTGGAAGAAGGTCTAGCTAGAGGGTTCCTTCAGGTATTGCAGAGAGAAATGGATGGCATAGAGGGGGGGTGGAGTGAGGAGGTCCTCACATCAGAGCTGGGGTTCATTCATGGATGGGACTCAAGCAAGTCTTAACCTTGAGGGACTCACAGATCACTTTGAGAGTGTGATGAAAGATAAAGTTACTCTCCTCAGAAACATACAGCACAGGCTAACCCCAGAACATTTAGCACATACTCTGAAGAGATTCTAGATTACAATTAAGTTTTTGCTGTTTTAACTAGATAGACGACGCTCACATTCGTTCAGGTAAGGTCCCTGGTCTCAAGAAGCTCACCGTCTAGTAGCCAAGAGAAAACAGTAACAATAAATCAATATACACATAGGTAAGCAGGATTGCAAGAGTTGTGGGGGAAGGGAGCATTCTGGAACGTTGCAACGGATGAAAAGAGATGGGCGTGGTACGGAGGCCCCCCAAAGGAACTGCGGTCGGTCGTCCTAAGGCGGGTTGATAAAGGAGGTGCTACTGTGGGAGCCCCGCAAGGCTGCGTTTGGAGTAGAAGACCACACGGCGCGTGCGGTAAAAATGGCATCGCTCCACGCTGCTGCCCCAGGTCACTGACGTGGTGCCACTGGTAGGCTGAGGTAGGGGGTGGGGGGTATAGCTATTAAAATGTGATGAGTACAGTTTTATCACAGACTCCGACGAGACACGGGGAAGAGAGCAGGCTGGCGCTGGGAGGGCGGCCTTGGAGTCCGCTGCGCCCGGCCAGGGTCAGAAGTTGGCCCGGTGTTTGTTCTTCCCGAGGAAAGAAAACCGCGGGAGAGCTCTGAGTGGCGGAGAACTACATTCAGCCAGTGGGCATGAAAATGACTTTTAGAGGCTATGTGCAAAAACCCTAGGTGTGTGGACAGAAGGGAGCCAGCCAGAAGGTTACAACAGGTCAAGAATAAATAACCACCAGGCGGAGGATCCCAGATTCTGTCCTTCCTTTTGTTGGGTGAGGAGCGCCAGGCACACGCGTCCACAAAGGCTTTGGAAAGAAGCGGTTCGGCAGTCCCCACCCGGCTCCAGTCCCGGGTAACTATTAGGGGCCCCGAGGGGTGCCTGCAGCTGGAGTCTCGGGGGGTGCCGGGTGGGCTCAGCTCTCAGGGCCTCGCGGCGGGGACCCCAGAATAAGTCGGGGGCGGGCCGCGGTGCGGCGGGCGGGGGCGGGCGAGCGAGCAGATCCCACCCCTTCCTGAAGGAAGCGCCCTCCTCGCCGCCGCTGCCACCGCCGCTGCCGCCGCCGCAGGTCACGGCCCCGCGAGGCGACCGCGGCCCAGCCGCACCGGAGCAGGTAGGCGCGGCGCCCGCGGCGCCGCCTCCTCCGCCCGGGCCGCCGGGCAGCCAGGGGGCGTCGGGCCCGGCTCCGCGCCCAGACCGGAGGCGGAGACCGGAGGCGGCGGGCGCTGCAGCGGGACTCGGGGCGGCGGGGTCCTACCGGCTGTGGGGGGGGGGGGCATGCTCCGCGCTGCCCCAGCCCCGGAGCGCCCCGGGCGCGGATCCACCCGCCCGAGCCCCCGCGGGCGAGGCGCGGGGGTCCGGCAGCGCCCCGTGGTCCCCGCCGGCTCTCCCCCGCGCGTGAGCGCCGAGCCGCCGCGCCTCGGTCCCCGCCGCCGCCGCCGCCGCCGCAGTGCTGTCCGCCGAGCCCCTGCGCCGCCCGCCGGCTGCGGCTCCGTCCGGTCCTTTGACAGGTGTCCCCACCCGCCGCCGCATCCGGATACCCCGGCCTTCTGTTGTCGGGTGGACTCTGGTCGGAAGCGACCCCAAATTTGGCCTCCCGGTCTCTCTGCCACTCGCTGTTCACTTTACCGTTAGCCAAGTCAGGCTGGCTCGGGAAAGGAGGGATCCGAGAAGGAGGCACCAACTTGCCTGGCCCTGTGCACCGCCCTCCACTCTAAATGCACAGTCTTGCTTTTCTCTCCTGGGGGCACGCTGAGAAAGACGTGGGGTTTTCTGTTTCTCCGCGGAGGCATAGGTGGGGGGCGGGGGGGGCGGCGGTTACCGAGGCCGTTTGGTCATCCATTGCAATAAAGAAGTGATTAGCTTTGGATTATGGAGAAAGACCTCGTTTAGTGGTTTTCTCCTCCTTTAATGAATCAAATCGAGAATGAGTGTTTTTCCCATTTTAAATTCATGTTCCCTTTCTTTCTACTCATCCCTCTTGTCCGTTCACCCCTACCTCCAGAGCACTTTATTATATCCCGAACACTTCGCTGATTTTGTCAGGTTTATTCCGGTCCGACTGTCACAGCTGAGCCAGGATTTTGACTGCAAATGTCAGAACATAGCCAGTTGGGGTGGAAGCCTTTCCTTGAATGAACCCATTCTGACTTACTACTTGCGAGGTCTTGTTTGGGAACCAAATATGCTAATGATATGTTAAAAAAAAAAAAAAGGTATTGGATCCATTACAGTAACAAGCCAAACGGTAATATTAATAAGTTTCTGCTTCTTCATTTCTCTGCTTGAATCAAAGGCAAGTTTTTTATAATGCAGGGCTGTAACACCATCCTGGGCTGCAGTTCGTCAAAAAGATAGGCGAATGTGAATATATAAACTCCGTGATAGCAGTTAATAAGTTGACCTACTTAAAGTTTTCGAGAAAAAATTGTTAGGCTCATATATGTGATATTTGCAGATCAAAGAATTTTAGTCTCAGCTCTCATGCATTAAATCCCAAACTTTTTTTTTCTATGTGTCCTAGAGACACCATGTTTCTAAGATTAGCTATAGCTGTCATCTCTTAACTAGAAATGTGAGTTTAATCTTCAAAGCATAGCATAGGAATTTTAATGGTGTGTCCTTCATTTATACATTATTTGGTAGATGTTTTGCGAGCTCCCCAAGTTGGAAGCTCAAAAACTGGACGTGGTAAATAAAAGGATAAAGAAATTTTGCTAACAATGATAACTACTTGGTAGATGTTATGACGTTGAACAATCATATTAAAGGATTTGGAAAGTGCATGTTTATTAAATCTGCCATTAGCAGAAGGCAATCTGTTTGGATTATTTAAATTGATGTTAAAGTGCCTTTATGGCAATTGCTTAATTCACATATTTCTCATCAAATGCCTTTTACAGATTGCTTTGTGGAGGAAATAGTTTGCTCTATGGAATAATTTTTTGTATGAACACAATAATGCCTAATGTTTAGGCTTTGTTCTAGAACTACCACAATCATGCGTACAATGACCTTGCAGGGGTTTCTGTGCTTACTTTACCTGCTGTGTGATCATCATCAGGGACAGTACTTTGTTTTACACTCTTGTCTGTGCCCCTGCTTTGTTTCCCCAGTGACCTAAGCACACCTCTGCAGTACAATGGCTAGATTAGCAGGGCAGCCTGCAGTCATGAAAGAGGAAAAGCTAGCTGGCCCCTGCAATTTTAGCCATTTGCTTTCACTATAATCTGGCCACTAGGGATCATTTCAGTAACCAATTAAGCAAGACAGACACTGACAGGATAATGTATTACCTCTCAGTTTTCCCCTCCACCAGAAGAATATGCAGCCCTCAGAATCCACACTACAGTGCTAATTAGGTTCTGTGAGGCTCAAATAAGATTTGTGCTAAAGTTCTCAAAAATGTGATACAAACACCAAGTGTTACTGAATCTGGGTCTACATTCATGACAAGGCTAGGAACACAGTCGGGTGGGTAATAAATGTTTTCCTTATCCTAAGGTTAGCAACAGAAATGCATCCCTACTTATTTTAACTGCAGACTTTTCTTCCTGGATCTGATGGTGCCTTGTGTCCTGATGGTTTTTCATAGATTGTTCTAAGTACTTTCAAACTAGCTTAGAAGTTCGTAGAACTTTAACAAGTTGTTGTTATCACCAAATATCACTTCCTGGCATGGTTGGATTTTGAAAGATAGCTTGTGGCAATGGAAGGTCTTAATGCAAAGAGATTTTAGACAAGCCAGTTGGAATGATAGTTTGAGATAATAATGGAATCTTTGGGCACTGGCCTTCAAATATCAACCTCACTGCAGTTTAAGTCAAGCCAGCTCTGCTGAGTTGGGTTTGGAACTCTTTTACCAAGTAAGAAATTAGCATTTTTCTTTTAGCATCTGTAAATGGCCTTTCTCTATATTAGTGCTGTCCAATAAAACTTTCTATAGTTCCATAATTTGTCCAAGGTGCTAGCCACAAGCCAAATGTGGCTTTTGGGCACTTGAAATATGCCTGCTACAACTGAGAGATTCAATTTTAATTTTTATTTAATTTGAATTAATTTAAATCGCCACATGGGACTAGGGGGCTATCATGCTGGACAGTGTGGCTCTAAATTGTCTTTACCTGTTTCCTGTAGAGATAACATTTGATGGCAATTCTTTTTTTATTTTAAGATTTTATTTATTTATTTATTTATTTATTTATAGACCATGAGTTGCGGGGGGCAGTGGGAGAAGGAGAGAGAGAATCCCAAGCAGACTCTGCACTAAGCACAGAGCCCGACTTGGGGCTTGATCTCACAACCCTGAGATCATGACCTGAGCCAAAATCAAGAGTTGGATGCTTAAGTGACTGAGCCACCCAGGTGCCCCTGATGGCAATTATTCTTTAGAAGAAAGTGGAAATAGGCATTGATAGAACCAGGAATTAAGATTTCACTCTGTCATCCTGTTGTTACAAAAAAACACTAGCATTTACTCTAAAGCTGAAGTTCCATTCCACTCTAAAAATAAAGTTTCCCTTTTTAATTTATATATATTTGCTAGCCACAAAAATAAACATTGCCCAGAGTTGTTTAGATGCTTGGCCCCATGAGTCTGTTCTTGAACTTCCTTGAATTTGGCTCTCTTGCACATTATAGAATCATTTATTCTTAAAGTCAGCTTCTGCACTTTTAAATTTTTCAGGGGGAGGGATATTTGAAGAGAGGTAGAAGGTGGGGGTGATGCACAATCATTCCCCCTTCCAATCCCCATTCCTCTCTAACAGTCACAGAAACCCTGTGAAAAATCCGACAAATGAGTACCCCTGCCTCAAGGAGTGGCTGAAGCCACTTGGGGATGCTTGCATAAATTTAAGAAATGTTCCATATAATCCTTTTTTTTTTTTTGAGATTTACACAATAACATGGTAAAGCCTCTAAGAGGAGATACATACATATACTTGTTTAACTTTATTATGTTTCCAAAAATTTTTCATACAACCCTTACAGTGTTTTTCAAACCATGTATCCTGAGTCATGGAATTGATTTAAAAGGTTAGGGTCAGCGTTTGTTTGTTTGTTTGTTTAATGAAATGGAATATATAGTAGAATAGGAATTCTCACTATGCATCCCTCTTAGTGGGGGCTGCTAGTGATTGATGAAATTTTTGGTTCTCCCATGTATGGCAAATACAAGGCCACAGGGAGGGTGGTGATTAAAAGCACTACATTAACAGGACCCTTGGGTTCACATCCTGACTCTGCACTGCCCAGTCCATAGATAGTGAGGACTTTATAATCAGGGTCATTATTTGTAGTATTATTATATAAGTGTATCTGTGTCTCTTAGATCATGATAAAAAATACTGCCTCTGAAATGGCTTGGGACCCACTTTGGGGAAACACTGATCTAAGACCTGTGTAATCACAAATAATAACCAGCAAATCATTGAGTACTTCCCAAGGGCTCCCCACTGAATGCTTTACATGGATTATTTTGTTTCTCTCGACAGTCCTGTGAGCCCTGCCACAATCCCACAGTACCTCCATCCCAGGAAGTCAGAGGGGCAGGATCTGAGCTCCAGGCAGGCTGGTGCCAGATCCCACGAGTTCAGCCACCTCACCTTCCACATTGCAGTGTGACAGTGATACACAGAGGGACCTCTGCAGACCTGTGAGGCTCATTGTATAGCCTTGCACAAGTGTAGAAACGAGCAGACCACAGCTGTTTTCTGTGTAAGATGAATCCTGATGGGTTGAGAGGGGAGTCACTGCATTATATTTAGGCTAGGAGAGACCTCGCAGCTGCCAGCCTCTGGCCTCTGAAAGTGAACGCCCTGGGTCAGGAAGCCTGGGGACCAAAGAAACCCAAA